ACGGAAGGAAACAGTCTCCCACCCGCAATTCAGTCGGTGAACAATTCGTAGTAGTGAAAGAACATTTGTAGGATGTGTGTATGTGTGAGGGGGGGAGAGGGAGGGAGAAGAACACATCCATTCAAAGCCTAAATCTCAGATCCAGAATTGGGATTAATTGGGAGATAGGATCATTTCTTAGCCTCAGCTAGAGTTACAGGTCAACATACGCTCAAACAATTAAGCAGTGGAACAACCTGCCACCAGAAGCTGTGAACACTGGAAGATTTTAAGAAGAGACTGGACAGCCATTTGTCTGGAATGGTATAGGGTTTCCTGCCTGAGCAGGGGGTTGGACTAGATGACCTTCAAGGTCCCTCCCAACTCTGTTATTCTGTTGTCCTTCCTTCCTTCCTTCCTTCCTTCCTTCCTTCCTTCCTTCCTTCCTTCCTTCCTTCCTTCCTTCCTTCCTTGCTTCTTCCCTCCCTCTCTCTTTTCCTTGCTTCCTTCTTCCCTCCCTCTCTCCCTTCTCCAACGCTGGAGGTTTTAAAGAAGAGACTGGACAGCCATTGGTCCGAAATGGTATAGGGTTTCCTGCCTGAGCAAGGGGTTGGACTAGATGACCTCCAAGTTCCCTTCCAACTTTATTATTATTATTATTATTATTGTTGTTGTTGTTGTTGTTGTTGTTGTTGTTCTTCTTCTTCTTCTTCTTCTTCTTCTTCTTCTTCTTCTTATTATTATTATTATTATTATTATTATTATTATTATTATTATTATTAATCTTGTAACCTAACTTACAAGTCAATAGGTATGAAGGGTGGCAATAGGGTTGCATTTTGAGCTGAATATAAATCTCACTAAGGTCAGCGGGGACCTTTATTTTTTAACTGAAAAAGATCCCCTTCAAACATTTCCCCCCCCTCAATGTGCTAGCATTTACGTTGTAACAGGATGGGAGAATGACCTTGGGAATTGGTGTAGGAGGGGAAGATATAAGGATAGTCAGATAAAAGACGGCATAGCCCACAACTGCATAACAGGCAGAGAAAAAGAATCAGAAAAGATTCCCTCTAACTTATCAGTCTGTAAAGGAAAGAGCGGGAGATTTGTACTTTCAGCCTTACAAGATTCTACTAATGTAGCCTTACAATACAATAGAGCTAGTTCAGACTTCGGAAAAAGTTCAGAGAAGAGCAACAAAAATGATCCAAGGCCTGGAGACTTATGAAGAACGGCTGCGGGACTTGGGTCTGGCTAGTCTAAAGAAAAGAAGAAATAGGGGAGACATGATAGTAGTATTCCACTATCTGAGGGGCTGCCACCAAGAAGAGGAGGGGGTTAAACTATTTTCCAAAGCACCAGAGGGCAGGAGAAGAAGCGACGGGTGGAAACTCATCAAGGAGAGAAGCAACCTGGAATTAAGAAGAAACTTCCTGACAATGAGGACAATTAACCAGTGGAACAGCTTGCCACCAGAAATCGTGGGTGCTCCATCACTGGAGATTTTTAAGAAGAGACTGGACAGTCACTTGTCTGAGATGGTATAGGTTCTCCTGCTTGAGCAGGGGGCTGGACTAGAAGACCTCCAACGTCCCTTCCAGTTCTATTCTATTCTATTCTATTCTATTCTATTCTATTCTATTCTATTCTATTCTATTCTATTCTATTCTATTAAATGTTCTTGCAGAACATAACCTGCCCCATCCAAAACCTCCATTGGTGTCCATCAGATTCCGGTTCCACATCATTTGTTCCCCTAAGGCGGGGTGTCCAAATTTGGCAACTTTAAAACCTGTGGACTTCAACTCCCAGAATTCTTGGCCAACATATCTGGCTGGGGAATTCTGGGCATTGAAGTCTACAGATCTTAAAGTTGACAAGCTTGGACACTTCAACCTTAGGCTTACTTGAATAAAAACAACACAACACAAAGTATCTCCCTCTAACCTCCCATTTATTTGCAGAAACGACTCTGGGTGTCTCGCAAGTGTCCAGGCTTAGCACGACAGGCATATTGTGAAGAGGTAAGTCTCTCACAGCAGCCAGTTTTTGTGAATGTGCCCACTACATCTTATCCAAAGGGCCAATGCACCAGTTCAAAAGACGGGCTTGTGTCTTGTAGCTGGAGCTTGTTGGGAAGATAAATAGGGTTTGTCTGTTGGGAAGTAAGCCAATGTTAAGTCAATGTTTCTTGATCTTGGCCACTTTAAGATGTGTGGACTTCATCTCCCAGAATTCCTCAGTGACCAAAGTGGAAAAACACTGTATTATGTGAACAATCAGGTCCATAGGAAGGGGATCTAGTTTCTTTCCCTGCTTTATCAGCAAGAAAATTTACCTGGTGTCCTCTGTGTGTTTTAGACTAGGCCAGGGGTAGGCAACCTGGGCTCTTTTATGACTCGTGGACTTCAACTCCCAGAATTCCTGAGCCAGCATGGGGGAAACTTTGGCCCCTTCATGACTCGTGGACTTCAACTCCCAGAATTCCTGAGCCAGCATGGCTGAATGGCCCCCTTTATGACTCGTGGACTTCAACTCCCAGAATTCCTGAGCCAGCTTGGCTGAGCTTGGAAACCTCTCCCTTTCCCCTCAGCATGGCTGGCTCAGGAATTCTGGGAGTTGAAGTCCACGAGTCATAAAAGAGCCCAGGTTGCCTACCCCTGGCCTAGAGTTTTGATAGCCCTTCCCTTGGGTGCAGTTCATTAGCTTTTGAGCACTATGGGAACTGTAGTCCAAAACGTGAGGAAGACACTAGTGGTACCCTCTGTGTGGTACACCTGATGGAAAATCGGTGGTGTTTTTAATAGTCAAAGATTTACTGCAGAAAAAACATCTTAAAAGGGCTTCGCTCAAAACTTGTCCATCTCAAAACAGTGAAGGAGAAGAACCAAAACGGGTCTTTTTAGAAAATAGAATAATAGAGTTTGAAGGGACTTAGTAAGGCCACACTTGGAATCCTGCATCCAGTTTTGGTCACCACGATGTAAAAAAGATGCTGAGACTCCAGAAAGAGTCCAGAGAAGAGCAACAAAGATGATCAGGGGACTGGAGGCTAAAAATATCAGGAACGGCTGCTGGAATTGGGTATGTCTAATTTAATGAAGAGAAGAACGAGGGGGGACAGGACAGCAGGGTTCCAGTATCTCAGGGGCTGCCCCAAAGGAGAGGGAGTCAAGCTCTTCTCCAAAGAACCTGAAGGCAGGACAAGAAGCAACGGATGGAAACTAATCAAGGAGAGAAGCAACCTAGAACTAAGGAGAAACTTCCTGACAGAACAATTAACCAGTGGAACAACCTGCCTCCAGAAGCGGTGAATGCTCCAACACTGGAGGTTTTTAAGAAGAAACTGGACAGCCATTTATCTGAAATGGTGTAGGGTTTCTGCCTGAGCAGGGGGTTGGACTCGATGACCTCCAAGGTCCCTTCCAACTTTTTTATTTTTATTATTATTATTATTATTATTATTATTATTATTATTATTATTATTATTATTATTATTATTATTATTATTATTATTATTATTATTATTATTATTATTATTATTATTATTATTATTGTTGTTGTTGTTGTTTTGTTGTTGTTGTTGTTGTTATTATTATTATTATTATTTTATTTTATTATATTATTATTATTATTATTATTATTATTATTATTATTATTATTATTATTATTATTATTATTATTATTATTATTAACCCCCTTACTCAAGAAAGAGATCCTATGCCATTCTGGATAAATGGCTTTTTCAAAGACATCCCTCTGGATTCAGTGAACGGAAGGTCCAGTTTTGCAGCCCAAATCTCTCCTTCGGGGATGGCTTGGGGGGATAAGACATTGCCTAGCAAGGCAGAATGTCCCTTCAACTTCCGTTGTTGTACGAAAGTCACAACTTGGGCTGCCTGCTCCTAGCTTTCCAAATGCAAGGTGAACGTTCCCTGGTTAACAGAGAAGAACTGGGCCAATCCAAGGCATTCAGAAGTGAAAAGTGGGAGAAACAAATCTAAACAAGGACTGAAACAGGACATAAGATGAGACAACCCGAATGTTAATGATTTTTCTTCACCCAGCAAACACACGGTTTACCAACTATTAAGTGATTTATGTTTTTTAAAAAACAATAAAAGATATGGAAGAAGAGAAGAAGTGAAACGAAAGCCACTCACACCTGGTACTTATAGACCTTGTCATTAATATTAACATTAACAGCCCTCCTGCTATTTCCAGCTCTTCCTCCTTGTACAGAATACTACATCATGGGGCAGAGAGTCCCAAAGACCAATTTCTCAAGGGTGGCTCTTTCCCCTCCCCTGACTTAAATCTTCTTTTTAGCATCCTTGGAAGACTTGAAATCTTAATATTTATTAATATCAATACGTATTCATATTAAGAGGGAGAAAAAAATGTATTTCTTGACAATGTACATGGATTGTAAAGATTTGTGTGGGTTCTAAACAATATGCCTCTTTTCAAATCAAAATTGTTGTCTTTTTAGGGCAGCTATTCCAGTCTTCTAAGTGTGTTTCTTCTCTTCCCTGTCCTCGTTGAATCTGCTCTAGCACCCCAATGCCCTTTGCTGACCTTTGTTACGTATTCAAGATGGACAGTGATTAATATTTATATGTTACTTACATGTAAGGGTGTAAGTCTATACATATGTTGTATATAGTATGTTTTAAATGCGTGTTATGTAAGTAACACTTTGAGAGCAAGCAACTACATTTCATTTTTAATGTGTGCCGTTGTGCCCACAGGAAAAAAATGACAATAAAGGTTATCTAATCTAATCTAGTTTTTGGTGGATCTTTCTGATTCTAGTGCAGGGGATCCCCAAACTTGGCAACTTTAAGACTTGAGGACCATCTCCCAGAATTCCTCAGCCAAGAATCCTGGGAAGTCAAGTCCACAAGGCTTAAAGTTGCCGAGACTGGAGACCCCTGTTCTAATGCAATCCAATTCTTGTGGTTGTTAGTTCACAACAAGGAAGCTTGTAGGCCAGGGGTCTTCAAACTTGGCCCTTTTATGACTGGTGGACTTCAACTCCCAGAATTCCTGTCAGCCGGTAAAACTACTTTGACGTCCGAACCTAGGTCTGGTCCCCAGAAGTTTGAACTGGGAAAATACTGACCACCCGAAGTTGAGGGTCTTAAGGAGTCGGTCAGTAGTTTCCCGGTTCAAACTTCTGGGGACCAGACCTAGGTTCGGGTGTCAAAGTAGTTTATGGCCGACTGAGGAATTCTGGGAGTTGAAGTCCACCAGTCATCAAAGGGCCAAGTTTGAAGACCCCTGGTCTGGATCCAAGCCCGCAGTTTCATCAAAATGGCCGACTGAGGAATTCTGGAAGTCCACCAGTCATCAAAGGGCCAAGTTTGAAGACCCCTGGTCTGGATCCAAGCCCACAGTTTCATCAAAATGGCCGACTGAGGAATTCTGGGAGTTGAAGTCCACAAGTCATCAAAGGGCCAAGTTCGAAGAGCCCTGTTGTAGGCCTTCTCAAGGAGGTTTGCCCTGCAGATGAATTGTGATGACAAACACACATATATTTGGGGAGGTCTGGGGCTTCATCCCTAACACAACTGAACAGGAAGCCACAACCGTTTTGATTTTTCTTCCATATTGTGAAATTATAATCGTTATGATTATTAACCCTGCAAGCCTAAATCAGTACACTCTAGGTCTAAAAATAAATGGGAATTATTGCCAACTAAGAGAAAAGAATACATTTGCAGGAAAACTATAAAGCCCATTTTTAGATAGGGCTGGCTTAGACTATCTTTCTGCTTTGATGCGATTTTTCAGCAGCGCCATTCCTACTTCTTGACTTGAGACTATCAGCAGAAAAGCTACTTTAATTTCCCTCCGTTACCCCCAGGGAATCATCTTAACTCTCTATGGCAGTCCAGGGAGAGTAAAACTGCACACTTCTAACTATGCTTATTTGCAGAGTGTGGCTGCCAACCCACTTGAATGTTTTGGCCATATTCTGTGGACACCCACACCTGGCTTGTGATCACTTTCAAGAGCGATGTTGCTGATTTTAGCTGTGTTTGGAGAGCTAAACAGGATCGAGCCGGATTAGGAGAAATGATCTCAGGAGGGACCGGGCGGTTAAATCAGGAAGAAAACTATAGTAAAACCATCTCTGTGTTGCTTGTGGGGTCCTGGGTGCTCCCTGACCTGTTTTCTTGCAAACATTTTGCTACCCAATTAGGTAACATCACCAGAGCTAGTGAGTGTGGGGTTTGTCAACACTGGCAGAGAAAACTACTGCAAAAGCAAGCTACTGCACAGAAACAAGAAGCAAACCCACATTCACTATACACTGATGATGTTACCTAGTCAGGCAATGAAACATCTGCCAGATGTAACCAAAGTCTGCGCCGTGGACCCCACATTTCAACCCTGAGTTGCAAATATTCTTGTTTCTGTTGCTTCCAAGAAAGCAACATCAATCTAGAATCCAGATCACGTGAGGTATTAATACCACTTTACAATGCCACCCTTGGAATACTGCATCCAGTTTTGGTCACCAGGATGTAAAAAAGATGCTGAGACTCTAGAAAGAGTGCAGAGAAGAGCAACAAAAATGATTAGGGGACTGGAGGCTAAAACATATGAAGAACGGTTGCTGGAATTGGGGATGTCTAGTTTAACGAAGAGAAGGACGAGGGGGGACACGATAGCAGAGTTCCAGTATCTCAGGGGCTGCCCCAAAGAAGAGGGAGTCAAGCTATTCTCCAAGGCGCCTGAAGGCAGGACAAGAAGCAACGGGTGGAAACTAATCAAGGAGAGAAGCAACCTAGAACTAAGGAGAAACTTCCTGGCAGTTAGAACAATTAACCAGTGGAACTACCTGCCTCCAGAAGTGGTGAATGCTCCAACACTGGAAGTTCTTAAGAAGAGACTGGACAGCCATCTGTCCGAAATGGTATAGGGTTTCCTGCCTGAGCAGGGGGTTGGACTAGATGACCTTCAAGGTCCCTTCCAACTTTACTATTATTATTATTATTATTATTATTATTATTATTATTAAGAAGCAATGGATGGAAACGCATCAAGCAGAGAAGCAACCTGGAACTCAGGAGAAACTTCCTGACACTGAGGACAATTAACCAGTGGAACAACCTGCCTCCAGAAGCTGTGAATGCTCCAACACTGGAAGTTTTTAAGAAGAGACTGGACAGCCATTTGTCTGAAAGGATATAGGGTTTCCTGCCTGAGCAGGGGGTTGGACTAGATGGCCTCCAAGGTCCCTTCCAACTTTATTATTATTAACATGTGTTTATGATGGTTGCCATATCCCGGGGTCACGTGATCACCATCTGCGGCCTTCTGATGGGCAAAATCAATGGGGAAGCCTTATCGACTTAACAACGGTATTACTAACTTAACCACTGCAGCGATGCATTTCACAACTGCAGCGAGAAAGGTCATAAAATGGAGCAAAACTCACTGAACAGCTGTTTCTCTTGTCTATGGAGGTTCTCCGTCATCTGGGTCCTGGTTGTCGAAAAGTTGCTTTTTCCAGGGGGAAACTGGACTCTTCTTGTTTTTTCTTTGAAGACGTTTCGCTTCCCATCCATGGAGCTTTTTCAGCTCTGACTGGATGGTGGGGAAATGGAAGGATTTATACTCCTTGCAGACAGCTGGCCGTTAGTACTCTTCCTGAGAATCGTTGAGGCCGCTCGGAGGATTATCTGTGCCCTTGGGATCAGCTGAGTGGTGCAAATGGGTGTGGAGCCTTCTTGGCTGTGCAAGGAGTATAAATCCTTCCATTCCCCACCATTCAGTCAGAGCTGAAGAGGCTTCTAGGGTGAGAAGTGAGACATCTTCAAAGAAAAAACAAGGAAGTCCAGTTGCCTCCTGAAAAAAAGCATCTTTGGGATAACTGTTTCACTTAGCAGCAGATATTTTGGGCTCTTGGCGGTGTAGGGCTACCTGTGTTAGGAGAAAAACAATCCCAATATTTTAAGAATGCCCCTCTTGATGTAAATGAGAAGCATCTCCCTGGCTGGGTTCACATCATACAACAAATTAAGCGAATGTCACACTAAGCGACACTCTGCTTCTTAACCTGTGTTTCCCCAAGGAATAGAATAAAATAAAATAGAGTAGAATAGAATAGAATAGAATTATGGGATAGAATAGAATAGAATAGAATAGAATAGAATAGAATTATGGGATAGAATAGAATAGAATAGAATAGAATAGAATAGAATAGAATGGAAAAAAATGTAATGAATGTAATGTAATAGAATAGAATAGAAAATATAGAATAGAATAGAATAGAATAGAATAGAAAATATAGAATAGAAAATATAGAATAGAATAGAATAGAAAATATAGAATAGAAAATATAGAATAGAATAGAATAGAAAATATAGAATAGAATAGAAAATATAGAATAGAAAATATAGAATAGAAAATATAGATTAGACTAGACTAGACTAGACTAGACTAGACTAGAATAGAACAGAACAGAACAGAACAGAATAGAAGCTGGAAGGGACCTTGGAGGTCTTCTAGTCCAGCCCCCTGCTCAAGCAGGAGAACCTATAGTCCTATACCATCTCAGATAAGTGACTGTCCAGTCTCTTCTTAAAAACCTCCAGTAGACTGCTTCCCCTGAAGGTGTGGTTTACACAATTGGCTTCCACAACTGTTTGGAAGCAAAGTAGCAGGCTGAGGCTGTAACCAGGGGCTCTGTCTCAGATTGGGGAGGGCTCTCAGTTGTTTATCCCCCCCTCCCCACAAGAGACTAGACCGGGGTAGGCAACCTTGGCTCTTTTATGACTCATGGACTTCAACTCCCAGAATTCCTGAGCCAGCCTGGCTCAGCTTGGAAACCTCTCCCTTTTCTCTCAGCATGGCTGGCTGAGGAATTCTGGGAGTTGAAGTCCACCAGTCCTAAAAGAGCCCAGGTGGCCTACGCCTGGTCACTAGCCAGTTAAAGATGAGCTTGTACTTTTCTTTCTACTTGGAAACCATTCCTGGGCTTTGTGCTTGAGGTGGGGAAAAAAAATGGGATGTTTGATTTTGGGTTTTGCAGGTTAGATAGGCTTGTTGTTGCAGAAATGGCTAGTTTATATTATTATATAAAAGTAAAAAGTTCGGGTTTGATGCTACTGCACCAAAAGGGGTGGAAAGTAACAATAACAATAACAGAGTTGGAAGGGACCTTGGAGGTCATCTAGTCCAACCCCCTGCTCAGGCAGGAAACCCTATATACCATTTCAGACAAATGGCTGTCCAGTCTCTTCTTAAAAACTTCCAGTGTTGGAGCATTCACCGCTTCTGGAGGCAGGTTGTTCCACTGGTTAATGGTTCTCACTGTCAGAATTTTCTCCTTAGTTCCAGGTTGCTTCTCTCCTTGATGAGTTTCCATCCGTTGCTTCTTGTCCTGCCTTCAGGGGCTTTGGAGAATAGCTTGACTCCTTCTTCTTTGGGGCAGCCCCTGAGATATTGGAAGGCTGCTATCCTGTCCCCCCTCGTCCTTCTCTTCGTTAAACTGGACATCCCCAATTCCAGCAACCGTTCCTTGTATGTTTTAGCCTCCAGTCCCCTGAACATCTTTGTTGCTCTTCTCAATTCTTTGAACTCTTTCTTCCTTTTTCTCTCTCCCTCTACACTTTTTCCCTTCCCTTTTCCCTGTCCCATTATTTTCTTTTGCACGCGCACACAGACACACAGACACATAGACACAGACACACAGAGACACACAAACACAGACACACACAGACACAGACACAGACACACACATAGACACACAAACACACACACACACACACAGACACCAACACGGACACACAGACTCACACAGACTCACACACAGACCCACAGACCTACAGACACACACAGACACAGACACACACACAGAGACACACAGAGACAGAGACAGAGACAGACACACAGACACACACAGAGACAGACACACAGACACACACAGAGGCAGAGGCAGAGACACAGACACACACAGGCACACACACAGGCACACACAGAGGCACACACACACACACACACACACACACACACACACACGCAGGAAAGCTGAGCAGGGAAATCCCACATCCCAGCCACCCTCTCCCCCTCCCCCAGGGTGGGGATGGGATGGGGGGGGGACTATTTACATCTTTGTAGGGCGTCGTCGTCGTCGTGGCGATCTCCTGGGCCGGGTGGAGGGTGGGGCTGCCGGGCGCTTTGGGGAGGCCGGGGGGCGGCGGCGGGGGCGGCGGCTGCTCCTCCTCCGGGACGGCCGGTCCTTCCTGGCCAGGGAAAGAGCCCGTCGGGGCAGCGCTGGAAGCGTTCGATCTCTCCCGGCAGACCCCTTTGTCCGTCAGCCCCCGGCCTTGTTGGAAGGGGCCAGTCGCCCCGACGGGATCCACCGGCCCGGCCTCCCCTCCTCCTCCTTCTTCCTCCTCCTCCTCTTCCTCCTCCTCCTCCTCCTCCTGCCCCCTCCGCTCCTCCTCCTCCTCCTCCTCTTCCTCGCCGGGCTGCCGGTGGCTCTCCACGTCCACCTCCGCCTCTTCCTCCTCCTCCTCCTCCTCCTCCTCTTCCTCCTCCTCCTCGCTGCTGTCCTCGCTGGGGGAGAGGAGCCGGGGGAGGGCAGGCTGGCGCTCGGCCGGCAGGAGCAGGAGGGGCGGCGGGGGCGGCGGGGGCGAGGCGGGCCGGCCCGACGGCTGGTGGTGCTGGTGGAGCTTCGCCAAGCTCTCCGTGTCCTCCTTGCCCCCCACCGGGCGGAAGGCGCTGGAGTGGTGGTAGGCAGAGACCCCCTTGGGCCGCGCTGGCGCCTCCAGCAGGTGGGCGCCCTCGGAGCGGGGGGAGCCCCCCACCTCGCCCTCGACGCCTCCTCCTCCTCCTCCGCCGCCGCCCTCGAAAGCGCGCGGCTCCCGGCTGCTGCCCCCCCCTCCCGCAGCAGCAGGAGGAGACCCCAGCCCGCCGGCGGCCGCCCCCTCCACCCCGGGCTCGGCGCCCAGCTCCAGGAAAGCCTGGCGGAGCAGGCGGGAGCTCTCCCCGCCCAGCGACGAGCAGCCCGGGGGTTGAGGAGGGGGCGGCGGCGGCGGCGGCGGCTGCAGGTAGGTGGGCAAGCCGGGCAGCCCCCCCGGCGCCCGGGGGGGCCAGAACATGCAGAAGGGCGGGTAGAAAGCGGCGGCAGCCGCGGCGGCTGCCGCGGCCGCGTCTTTGCGATTCCCGGGCCAGAAGAGACCGGAGAGTCCCGCTCCGGCCGGCGGGACCCCCGCGACGGCTTTGGAAGCCCCCGCCGCGCCCGGAGCGCCGACGCCCAGCCCGTCGGAAGCCTCCTCCTTCTTGTGGCACAGGCCGAAGGCGGCGGCGGCGGCGGCGGCGGCCGGGAAGCCGTAGGGGTGCGGGAAGAGCCCCCCGCAGGCGGGGAACTTGGGCAGGACGCCCCCGAAGGAGCCCCCCTTGCTGGGCACCGGCATGACCGGGTAGCTGCGGGGGGCTTTGCCCTGCGCCATCGCCGACGCCGCGGCAGCCGCCGCCGCCGCGGCCGCCACCGCTTCGTGGAGGTCGCTCTCGTCGTCGAAGCGCGGCCGCTTCTGGCTCAAGTCCGGCGGGGGCGGCGGCGGGGGCGGCGGCGGGGGTCCCCCGGCTAGGAGGTGCGGGCCCAGCAGCCCCCCTCCGCCTCCGCCTGCCAGCCCCACCGCCTTGACGGAGCCCAGCGCGTGGCAAGGCAACGGGGGCGGCGGCGGCGGCGGGGGTCCCGTCGGGCGGTGCCCGGACGGCCCGGCGGAGCAAGGCAGGGCCCTCTTGCGGCTGCCGCCGTTGAACATGGCCTTGACGTCCTCCCAGGCGAAGACCAGCTCGTCCGGCGGGGCCCGCTCGCTCAGCCGGAGGTGGCGGCGCCAGGAGTTGAAGTTGGCCGCGTCGGGCTGCAGGTACTTGGCGTCGGGGGTGCGGTGGGAGTGGAAGATGAACTTGTTGGGCGAGAAGTAGAGGCTGCAGTAGCTGCACTTGATGCACTTGGCCCGCGAGCTGTTGTAGCGGGCCGGGATGAAGCTGCCCCGGCAGCCCCAGGCGCACTCGTGGGACACGTCGAAGGCGAAGTTATCGGGCAGCTTGGGCGGACGGTTCTCCCCGAGGAAAGACTTGCACAGGCGCTCGGCCTCCCGCTTGGTGATCATGCCGCAGCGGCGCGACGAGATGGGCATGGCCCCGGCCCGGCGCAGGATCTCCAGCTGGACGGGCGTGCACTGCACGCAGGTGATGCCCAGCGCCACCCGACGGTTGTGGATCTCGTTGTAGCTGAAGGTCTTGAGCAGCGTGTTGGAGATCTGCGCCAGGCACAGGCGCTCCTGACCGTCGATCACCAGCGAGACGATGGGGATGCCGTACAGGATCACCTGGCCCACCTGGTTGGGCTTCATGGCGCCGCCGGGGGACGCCTGGGGGGCCGAGGAGGCGCGGGAGGCGGCGGGAGGCGGCTGGGTCAGCGGCTCGGGCGGGAAAGCGCCGGGCGGGGCGGCCAGGAGGAGGTCTGGGGGGGCCGGCAGAGGGCTGCTGGCCATGGTCGAGGGCCCCGGGCGGGTTCCTGGCGGAGCGCTGGGGAGAGAAGAAGAGAGTGCCGCGTGAGGACTAGCGCCCTGGAAAGGCTGAGTTGGTTCGTCGGCGGTTCCCTAAACATGCCTTTGCGGAGCGACAGCCCGGTTATTTTCACCTTCACTGTGGGAGGGGACCTTGGAGGTCTTCTAGTCCAGCCCCCTGTGTATTAGTTATTTTGTATCAACAACTGTTGGATCCTGGATTAGAATAGAATAGAATGGAATGGAATAGAATAGAATAGAATAGAATAGAATAGAATAGAATAGAATAGAATAAAGAAAATATAGAATAGAATAGAATAGAATAGAATAGAATAAAGAAAATATTGAATAGAATATAATAGAATAAAGAAAATAGAACAGAACAGAACAGAATAGAATAAAAAAATATAGAACAGAACAACAGAACAGAACAGAACAGAACAGAATAGAATAGAATGTAGAATAGAATAGAACAGAATAAAGTTAGAACAGAACAGAACAGAACAGAATAGAATAGAAAATATGAAATGGAATGGAATGGAATGGAATGGAATGGAATAGAATAGAATGGAACATAGAATGGAACATGGAATGGAATGGAACAGAACAGAACAGAATAAAATGGAATAGAATAGAATAAAGAGAGAATAGAATAGAATAAACAGAGAATAGAATAGAATAGAATAATAGAATAGAATAGAATATATGGAATGGAATGGGATAGGATAGGATAGAGAAAGGAATGGGATGGGATGGGATGGGATAGAATAGAATAGAATAGAATAGAATAGAATAGAATAGAATAGAATAGAATAGAATAGAATAAGAAATAATGGAATGGAATAGAATAGAATAGAATAGAATAGAATATTGGAATGGAGTGGAGTGGAGTGGAGTGGAGTGGAGTGGAGTGGAGTGGAGTGGAGTAGAGTAGAGTAGAGTAGAGTAGAGTAGAGTAGAGTAGAGTAGAGTAGAGTAGAGTAGAGTAGAGTAGAGTAGAATAGAATAGAATAGAATAGAAGCTGGAAGGGACCTTGGAGGTCTTCTAATCCACCCCCCTGCTCAAGCAGGAAAGACCAAAGAAACCCCAGGTCCATGGAGCCTTTTGGGGTCACAGCCTCCCCAACCTGGTCATTACAAAGACAAAACTGAAGACTGAACAAGTTCCTGGAGGTTCTGGAAGAGAGGCTGGAGAGAGAACGAACCAACAACAATGAGAAAAACAACAAATTCAACCAATACCAACAGACTGCTCTATTGACTAGGAGACAAAACGTTTATTTATAGGCCGCCCATTGCAACACAGGCTACCAGCCTCAAAGGCCTGTCAACCAGCTATTTTCTCTTGCAACGTCTCAGAATTTTTTTAAAAAAAATAATGGTCTCGCTGCATTAAAACTGGATTGTGCCCAACTGGGCATCATCCTGTTTACTCAGAAGTAGCAGTTTGGATAAGTTATTAAGAAGAAGAGTGGACAACCATTGGTCTGAAATGGTATAGGACAGGGTCTCCTGCTTGAGCAGGGGGCTGGATTAGAAGACCTCCAAGGTCCCTTCCAGTTCTATTCTATTCTGTCCTGTCCTGTCCTGTCCTATCCTATCCTATCCTATCCTATCCTATCCTATCCTATCCTATCCTATTCTATTCTATTCTATTCTATTCTATTCTATTCTATTCTATTCCATTGCATTCCATTTTCTATTCTATTCTATTCTATTCTATTCTATTCTATTCTATTCTATTCTATTCTATTCTATTCTATTCTGTTTTTGCTTCTAAATTTTGCTGAGTTCGGAGAACCGGCTGAATGCACACTGCTTCCGGAAGTTCGTTCGAGGCCTCGGAGGCCTGGAGGAGGCCTCCCAGGCCTAGAACAGCCCATTGGAAGTGCATGGATGCCACTTCCGGAAGTCCGTTCTAGGCCTCGGAGGCCCAGACCTGCATCCAATAAGACAACCTGTTGTTCAGGTATTTGAATCCCACCACTAGATTACTTTTAAGTAACCGTGCCTACACGAGGTCTTATGACTTACGACAGTTGATTTAGTGACCGTTCAAAGCGACAATGGCACTGGAGAAAAAAGTGACTTATGACCCCTTGGCCCACGTACGACCATCACAGCATCCTCCACAGTCACTCGATCAAAATTCAGACGCTCGGCAACTGACTCCGGTTTACGACGGTTATGCGGTGTCCCCGGGGTCATTTGATCCCCTTTGGCGACCTTCGGACCCGCAAAGGTCAACGGGGAAGGCCGACTCGCTTAACGACCGTGTTGCTAGCCTAACCACTGCGGTGACTCGCTTAACGACGGGGGTGGGAAAGGTCGTAAAATGCAGCAAAACTCACAGAAGCACTGCCACAGAAAATCAGGGCTCGGTTGTGGCCATTAAGCCGAAGCACACCTGTCCTAGCCTTCCCTAACGTGGTGCTGTGGGCATCCACAATGGCTTGAGAGACATCTGAATGTCTGCATCTTGTCTCAGATGCAGGTCCGTATTGTCTGAATTGGGTAATTGGCACGGGGACGCCACGAAGCCCGTGTCTTCTGTTTGAGGTCCCTGGAGGCTTTTTAGTGAGGGCCTTGGCTGGTGCTTTCACACACACACACACACACACACAAACACAGAGAGAGAGAGAGAGAGAGAGAGAGAGAGAGAGAGAGAGAGAGAGTAGCTTTCAGGCTGCTTTGAGATTTCAGCATCACCTCTACGCTTAAAAAAAAATAATTCTTTTTTCCCCTCTTTTTTTCAGCTGGCTGTAATCCCAAGCCAGGATCCAGGGGCCGCTGAGTGATCCTAAAAGGAGACGGATCCCATTAGAATCCATTGCTGCATGTAGCCCTGTTCAAAAGCCAGGCGTCAAACGAACCAAGAAGCGTTTGGAAGAAAACGGCAATCAGTTTGAACTAATTAGATAAATATGTCATGTGTAATAGTAAATATGCATGTAATTTATGTAATCAATTGTCTCTGGGCCTGATTATAGGGATACCCTACAGAGCCGTGCAGACTCGCTCTGGTTAGCGAGATGGGCGGCATATAATTTAAACAAACAAACAAAACAATAAACAAAAACAAACAAACAAATAAGATTGTATACCAACACACATACTCATCAATCAATCAGAATAGATAGATTCCAACAATGGCTGGAAACTGACCAAAGAGAGAAGCAACCTGGAATTAAGGAGAAACTTCCTAACAGTGAGGACAATTAACCAGTGGAACAGCTTGCCACCAGAAATCGTGGGCGCTCCATCCCTGGAGGTTTTTTAAGAAGAGGTTAGACAGTCGCTTGTCTGAGATGGTATAGGTTCTCCTGCTTGAGCAGGGGGCTGGACTAGAAGACCTCCAAGGTCCCTTCCAGCTCTATTCTGTTCTATTCTAAACCTGGAATTAAGGCAAAACTTCCTAACAGTGAGGACAATTAACCAGTGGAACAGCTTGCCACCAGAAATCGTGGGCGCTCCATCACTGGAGATTTTTAAGAAGAGGTTAGATAGTCACTTGCCTGAGACGGTGTAGGTTCTCCTGTTTGAGCAGGGGGCTGGACTAGAAGACCTCCAAGGTCCCTTCCAGCTCTATTCTATTCTACTTAGGAGAGAGGTTGCCAATTGGGAGCTGATTCCCAGAGGCCCTGTTCAGGTGGGCGTCGGAAGAACTGGGAAAAATCCAACAAAAGACCAACAACTGCACTAGCTGTCTCTTCTCCCACCACAAGGAATGTGTTTAAGTGCCCTGAGAATCAGATAGAAAAACAGAAAAAAAGCTCTTTCGCAAATGTTAAAACAGTTTTGAGTGAGCTTGTCTGGCAGAGATTGCACTAGCATGGCTGACCTTGATGCACACGAACAAGCAAGAGATACATGCATAAAAATATTCCTCTTTTGGCCAATTAGCCGCAGGATTTAATCAAACCATCATCTCATCTCACCCCCAAATCAGGGGTTATTTCCCCACTCTCTCGGTTCCCCACAAAAGACTTCCTTAGCAGCTTAGCAATTATGATTCAGCACAGCCACGCGTCCGGCGAATGTCGGTTGGATGGGAAGGCGGGTTGAAATCCAAGCTAGTCATTCTTGATTGGGAACCTGGGAAAGTGGCTACTACTTAATTAAGATCTGTCAAAGGTGAAGGCTTCTGGTTTGCCCGATTCTCGGAAGCTTTCTAACCCAGTATCTTTTTTTGTTCCCTGAAGACTGTGGAATTAAAGTTAGCCTAGGAGTCTGGTTCCGGTTGGGGAATTTGTCCCTTTGCTTTGAACGCAAAGGTTCCTTCGACACCTCCTGTCATTTCATCTCTGTTAGTGAGAATTAGATCCAAAATGGCTGATTCCCTAGTTCCCTTCTCTACTTTTTGGGAGACAAAGTTGTCTGCTAGGTTTGTCAGGAATCTGTTTGATCTTCCACTCGGTGCAGAGTTTGTCTCCCAGTTGATGTCTAACTGCTCAGGCAATTTGCTGATATTCTGCCTTAGTTATGTGCCCCTCTTTCCACTTTTTATACTTGTCCTTTTTATCTTTCGATTTATCAGAGAGTTCTTTATGCAGCCATGCTGTTTCTTTTGAGAGCTGTTATTTTTCTTCTTCGTTGGTATTGTGCTAGACTGGGCTTTTATAATCTCACTTTTCAAAATTTCCCAAGCTTCTTGAGTTGTTCTCCTCTTGAGGATTCTCATCCATGAAATCCTTCCCAAGCTCTAAGTTTGTTGAAATTAGCTCTCTTGAAGTCCAAGACTCTAGTTTGACTGTGTTCTATTGCTTGTGCTTCCATAATGTTGAATTCCAATATTGCATGATCACTTCCTCCCAAGGTTCCTGTGGCTTCAACACCTTCTATCATTTCATCTCTGTTAGTGAGAATTAGGTCCAAAATGGCTGATCCCCTAGTTCCCTTCTCTTCTTTTTGGGAGACAAAGTTGTCTGCTAGGTTTGTCAGGAATCTGTTTGATCTTCCACTCGGTGCAGAGTTTGTCTCCCAGT